TTAATTTTTCTGCAGAGTGAGAAAGAAGTGTTAAGTTCCATCCTTCTACATGTGGGTATCCACTTTTCACCTTACAATTTGCCAAAGAGGCTCTTTTCTTCCAATGCACATTTTTAGCATCTTTGTCAAAAACTATGTGGCTGTAGTTGTGTGGGCTTGTACTTCAGTCATTCATTCTATTCCATTGATCAATATGACTATTTTTGTGTCAGTACTATGCTGGTTTTATTACCAAAGCTGATCTGTAGTATAAATTGAAATCAGATAGAGATGATCTCTCTCCTTGAGTCCATTTGTGTGTTGATTTGTTCATGTCAAACAATTCCTCCATCCTGTAATGAAGCCATGTTCATTATGGTTAATGAACTGTCTGAGTATTCTTGAATTAACTTTTTTTTTTAAGATTTATTTATTTATTATGTATACAATATGTGTTTGCATGTATACCTCCGTGCCAGAAGAGGGCACCAGATGGTTGTAAGCCACCATGTGGTTGCTGGGAATTGAACTCAGGACCTTTGGAAGAGTAGCCAGCGCTCTTAACCTCTGAGCCATCTCTCCTGCCCTTGAATTCACTTTTTAAATAGTTTGTTGAGAATTTTTTTTCATTTTTCTTCATGAGGAAGATTGAGCTATAATTTTATTTTTATGTTGTGTATGTGAAAAATAGTTTGGTAACAATCTTTCCTGTTGTCTTTTATGGATAATTTGAGAACCATTGCTGTTCTTCTTTAAAGGCCTGGTAGATTTCAGCAGTGAATCCATATGGGTGAAGAATTTTTTTAGTTGGGAGAAATTTTGTTTTATTGCTGCTTCAATTTTGTTGAGTTGTATTAAATTGAGGTCTTTTTGTTGTTGTTGTTGTTGTTATTAGTTTGGCTAAGGGTTTCTCAGTCTTGCTTTAAAAACAACTCATTTTATTAATTTTGTGTATTTTTTATTTTCATCAATTTCTACCCTACTTTCCATCGACTAATTTTGAGTTTGACACCCACACTTGCATTAAAATTTTTTTTTTTTTAAGACAGGGTTTTTCTGTGTAGCCTTGGCTGTCCTGGATTCACTTTATAGACCAGGTTGGCTTCGAACTCACAGAGATCCACCTGCCTCTGCCTCACTTGAGGGAGTATTGGGATCATAGACATGCACCTGTTTGATCTCTGAACTTTTAACTAGGCACTTTTCACTACTAACTTCCCTCTTAGGACTGCTTTCATCGTGTACTCAGTTTTGGTCTGTTGTGCCTTCATTTTCATTCAATTCTAGTACTTCTACATTTTCCTTCTTGATTGTTTTCAATGACCCAATTATTATTCAATAGTATGTTTGTCACTCTTCATGACTTTGTATATGTTGTATGGTTTTTCTTCATATTGATTTCTAGTTTTGTTCTGTAGAATTCTTCTAGACTGTACGAAGTTGTTTCAATTTTCCTATGTTTGTTATGTTTTGGTTTGTATCTGTTATATTATCTATTTTAGAAAATATTCCATGGACTGCTGAGAAGAATGTGCATTTTGAAGTGTTTGGATAGAATGTTCTGCAGCATAGCTGGAATGTTAGATCCATGATGTTATTTAACTCAGATGTTTATATTCTTTTTTTTTTTGTCAACATTACCTATATTGATGAGAGTTGTCTATTAAGGTCATCTTCTATTATTGTGTTTGAGATTAATGAGGCTTTACCTCTAATAATATTTATTTTCTAAAAGTGGGTGCACCTATGTTTGGTTACTGTATGTTTAAAATTTAATGTCCTTTTAATAATTATGAAGTGAAAATTTTAATCTCTTCTGTTTAATTTTGTTTTCAAATCTGTTTGTCAAATATTAGGAGAGTGACACCTGCTTGTTTCCTAGGAATATGTTTTTCTATTCTTTCACCCCAAGGTTTCATCTGTCTTTGATGGTGAGGTGTGTTTCTTGAAAGTCAACAAATAGATGAATACTGCTTTTTACTCTAGCCTGCTAGTCTATCTTTTGAATGGGAAATTGAGACCATTAATGCCCAGAGTTACTGTTGAAATGCAGATACTCATTTCTGTTACTTCATTGGCCTTGTAGTGTTTGATGTTTTCCTGTTCCTAATTTGCTTAACTATATATTTATTGTATCCTCATTGATGTGTTTATTAGTTTATTTTTGGTCTGGAAGAGTCCTTCAAGTATCTCTTATAGAATTGGCTTATTAGTATGAATTGTGTTAGCCTATTTTTTTTTTCAGGGAAAATTTTTTTTCCTTCAGTTATTACAGTTTGGCTGGGTATCGTGGTCTGAATTGGCAGTTGTCTTTTAGAACTTGAAACATATCCTACCAACCCCTCCTGACCTGAAAAGTTACTGTTGGTAAGTTTGCTGTTATTATAATGAATCCATCTTTATATGTAGTTTGGTGTTTCTCTGTTGCAGCTTTCAGTATGCAGTCTTTGTCCTGTTTATTTAGTGTTTTAACTATGATGAAAGGAGGTTCTTCCCTAGTCTTGTCTGTTTGGTGTTGCAAATTCTTGTACCCAGTTGGGTGTCTCTTCTCTTAGATTTGGGATGTTTTCTGCTGCAGTTTTGATGAAAATGCTTCCTCTGCTTTTAGCATGAAAGTTTTCTATGTCCTTGAGTCATAGATTTGGTCTTTTCATAGTATTCCATAGATATTGAATGTTCTGTTTGTAGTTTCTTTTTAATTCATCTTTGGCCAGTTGCTCTACATTGTCTTCAAGTTCTGATATTCTACTTTCTCCTTGATCCAGTACTTTGGTGAGGCTTTCCATGGAGTGTGTTGTGTTGCATGCATGTGAATGTGGGTGTGTGCATGTGAGTGCATACATAGGCCAAAGCAAGATAGCAGCTATCTTCTATCATTTTCTGACTTACTGTTTTATGATGGTTCTCTTACTGAACCTGAGCTCACTATTTATTTTTTTTTGCTAGGCACCTGTCAATGTTGTAGTTACAAGCGCACACAGCCATGCCCAGCCTTTTACATGGTGCTGAGAAGTCAAAGTCAGCTCCTCAAGTCATGCTCTGAAACAAAGAACAACTGCTCTTTCTTACCTCCCCAGACCCATATGGAGCTTTTATTCAACTATTGAGTTTTTCATTTCCATTCTTTCAGTTTGGTTTTTATTCAATATTTCTTTATCTTTGTTGGATTCTGCTTTCATATCCTATATTGAATTTATTTCATTCACTTGTTTGTGTTCTCTAGGAATTCACTCAGAATTTCTGTCTTCTTTGGTTTCTTTGAATATACTTATAGTAATTCTTTTGAATTATTTAGCATTTTGTCAAATTCAGTGTCATTGGGGGCCATTAATTTGTGAATTGTTCATTTTTGGAGTTGAATTGATTTTGGTTTTTTCCATTTCCTTTTTTTTTTATTTTTTTTGCATTGGAACTCTAAGGTCAGGTGGCTGGTTGGGTTGCTTTTAATCATGCATATTCTTTTAGCATTCATATGCAGACTCAAGAGTTGAACACTTGTTTCTCCCTAATTCCTTTCTGTCTGCTTAATTTTGGGAGGCTACCAGCCTCTACCTATTTCTCATTCTTGGTGCTTTGACCTCATGATTTTATACATATTATAAACAGGTCTTTAATAATGCTTACTTCCTTTGTTTTTCCTCTCTCAGGGGTTCTTGACTATCACTGACTATTGTCCAATGTCTGAAAACTATTATTTTATATTTTCCTTAGTTTTTAGTCAATTAAAATGTGTGTGTAGGAACTCGAAGCCAGAAGAGGATGTAAACTCTCCTGGAGACATAGTTATAGGCAGTTGTGAGCCTCCCAGCATGGGTTCTGGAACTGAATTTGGATCCTCTGAGGAGCAGCAAGCAGTCATAATTGCTGAGACGTATGGCCAGGCCCCTTAGACTAGAGAGTATTCAGTACAGATACAGAGTGATGTTCATGAAAAAATACATGGCTGCACGTTTTCAGTAGTAGAGACTGTTGCCTAGCATTGAATCCTTTATGACTTTACAACTGTTTGTATAACTATGTTTTATTTTTGTTTGTTTTCCTCACAGCTGTTCTTGTTTGGTTTTAAATATTTGTGTGGAGTCTCCACAAACACACCTCACTGAATTTCCGTGTTATTTGAAAGTCCTTTGGTTTGAGAAAACACTCTTTAACCTCTTTCTTACGTGTGTGTGCGTGTGGACGTGCACGTGTGTTGCCACACAGAGTGTCGGTCAGGGAAAAATGTATCTGCCATGTGCATAGGTGTTCAGGCTTGCTGGCAGGTGCCTTTACCCGCCGAGCCACATTGCCAGCCCAAGAACAGCATTCTTGATTGTAATAACACTGAGAAAATTCAGTAGCTATTCACTCAGTATCTGCCTGCTCCCCCTTTCTTACCAGTAAGAAAATGTCTATGAGGGAAACGCCATGGTTAGCGTCTGTAAAAGTCCTCAAAGTGAGACAGAATTTTCTTCTTTATTCTAATTTCTGCTAGCTGTAACTTGGGGTGATAACTATAGCTTGAGTAGCCATTTTAGACAGAGAAGGAGAAATGTGAAGAGCAAAGTGGAAGATGCCTGGGTTCTTAATGCCATTTTGAATGAAACCACGTGTCCTTCCTCCCTTCATCCCTCCCTCCCTCCCTCCCTTCCTTCTCCTCTTCCTATTTCACTTTCTTCAAACTCATTTTTTAAGACAGACACAGTCCACATCAACTTCAGACTTGCAGTCCTCTTTCTCCTCAACCTAAAGAGATGCTGGATTAGAAGTGTGCACCACCCTGCCGGTTTAAACGTAATTCTAATTATATAGTCTGTTGGTGTTGTTGGCAAAGAGGAAAAATACATGTGTATGTTTTCAGCTGGGCAATGGTACATGTCTTTAATCCCAGTAGAAACAGGTGAATCTCTGAGTTCTCTTATCTATCTATTGTTGATAGAATTGTCTATAGATGGCAGGCTAGAGTAACTGAGCAAGAGCTACACTAGGTTCTGATTATTTTATTTGTCCTTTCAGCAAAAGGGTGAATCTTACATAAAGACATGCAAGCTGAGGCTGGGAGCAAGAAGACAGGACTCTCAGATGAAAATCCCAATCCATGGATAGAACGTTACTTCAACCACAGATGCTACATCACCTTTCTGACTGGCTGCTACAGTTGCCACTGGCAATACAGAGCGTGGGAAAAGACTGAACTTGGATCCTGTTGCTGCCCCAGGGTATAGAGATGGAAAGGAGCTAGACTACACTTTCTTAGATGTGGGTGGGTCCCTAACCACTGGAGAACTCATTGGAATTCTCCAGGCGGGGTACACTGAGCTCCAGTTTTCCTAGCAAAGTACTATGAAGTCTAAAGCCAGAGTTAAATGTGCTTGCTGCCTGCCTCTTCCTCCTCTCTCTCTTCCTTTCCTCCCTTTTCATTCTTGCTTCTTCTTCTTTTTAATAGGAGACCAAACCTAGGAGATTTTGCATGCTGGGCAAGAGCTGTGCTGCTGAGCTATACCCACAGTCCCGTCTGTGTGTTTCTTGCTTGCTTGCTTCCCTGCTCCCCTGTGTTTTAAAGAAAGGTCTCTCATAGCCCAGACTGACCTTGAACTGCTATATAGCTGAGCCACACCTTGAACTCCTAATCCTCTGTCTCCATCTCTGAAGTTCTGGGGTTACAGTCATGTGTCAACACACTTGGCCAGCCCCTCAATTTTATTTTCTTTGTTTTTGTGATTTCTTTTATGTCATTCATTTATTCTCTCCTTCACTTTTACATTTATTCATTGAATTTTGAAGAAGACTCAGATGCAATTAGATATTCACAATAGATTACAAGAATGTCCAAATCTGTAATTTTCATTTAAAAAATTTTGTCAATGGCAGTTCTAGTTTGTCTTTAATTTCTTTTACACTTAGTGTGTGTGTGTGTGTGTGTGTGTGTGTGTGTGTGTGTGTGTGTAAATACCACAGCACATTTGTGGTAATCAGAAAACAACTTAATAGGAGGTGGTTTTGTCCTTCCACCATGCAGTTTCCAGGGATTGAACTCAGGCCATCAGACATCCTTACCCACTAAGTCATCTAAACAGCACCCTAAATTTTTAATTGTCTCTTCTCTTTCAGTTTCCAAGGGGAAAGTATGTTCCCGGGGGTATGGGAGAGTGGGGCCAGATAGGGGACCCAATCCTTTACTCCTGGCCAAGCAAGTGCTTGATTTTCACCAGCAGGGCTCTAGTGAAGCTGAGTGGCAGCATGAAGCATAGCCTAATGAAGAGCCGCATTGTTCCTCTAAGCAGTATGTACTGGCACCCTCTGCTGAGCCACATGGTATAATAGACCAAATGATGAGCACCTTCACTTGACTCTAAACATAGTTTAACTAAGGTCTAAGATTCTCATTAATTAGATCTCCAATTCATTGTTATTGTATTTTATGTTATAAATATGCATGTTTCTTTTTTAATTTTTATATTTTATATTAATTACAGTTTATTTAATCCCAGCTGTAGCCCCCTTCTTCATTCCCTCCTAATCCCACCCTCCCTCCCTCATCTCCTCCCTGCTCCTCTCTAAGTCTACTGATAGAGGAGGTCCTCCTCCACTTCCATCTGACCCTAGTTTATCAGGTCTCATCAGGACTGGCTGGCTGCAATGTCCTCCTCTATGCCTAGTAAGGTCACTCCTCCCTCAGAGGGTGGGAGGAGGTCAAAGAGCCAGCCACTGAGTTCATGTCAGAGATAGTCCCTGTTCCCCTTACTAGGGAACTCACTGGCATACTGAGATGCCATGGGCTACATCTAAGCCATGAAGGGTTCTAGGTTATATCCAAACATGGTCCTTGGTTGGAGAATCAGTCTCAGAAAAGACCTCTGTGTCCAGATATATTTGGTCCTTGTGGAGCTCCTGTTCTCTCCAGGTCTTACTAACTCCCCCTTCTTTTATATGATTCCCTACACTCTGCCCAAGGTTTGGTTATGAGTCTCAGCATCTGCTTTGATACACTGCTAGGTAGAGACTTTCAGAGGCCCTCTGTGGTAGGCTCCTGTCCTGTTTCTTGTTTTCTCCTACTTCCAATGTCCATCCTATTGGTCTTTCTAAGTGATGATTTATCATCTTACCCAGGGACCTCCTTCTTGTTTAGCTTCTTTAGGTGTACAGAATTTAGTATGTTTATCCTATTTTTTAGGTCTAGTATCCACTTATAAGTGAGTATATACCATGTGTGTTTTTCTGCTTCTAGGATACCTCACTCAGGATGATCTTTTCTAGATCCCACCACTTGCCTGCAAATTTCATGATTTCCTTGTTTTTAATTGCTAAGTAGTATTCTATTGTGTAAATGTACCACAACTTCTGTATCCATTCTTCTGTTGAGGGACATCTGGGTTGTTTCCAGGTTCTGGCTATTACGAATAAAGCTGCTATGAATGAACATGGTTGAACAAATGTCCTTGTGTACTTGAGCCTCTTTTGGATATATGCCTAGGAGTGGTATAGCTGTATCTTGAGGAAGCGCTATTCCTAGTTGTCTGAGAAAGCGCCAGATTGCTTTCCAGAGTGGTAGTACAAGTCTACATTCCCACCAGCAATGGAGGAGGGTTCCCCTTTCTCCACAGCCTCTCCAACATGTGTTGTCACTTGAGTTTTTGACCTTAGCCATTCTGACGGGTGTAAAGTGAAATCTCAGAGTCGTTTTGATTTGCATCTCCCTGATGGCTAAGGACGCTGAACATTTCTTTAGGTGTTTCTTTGCCATTCTATATTCCTCTACAGAGAATTCTCTGTTTAGCTCCATACCCCATTTTTAATTGAATTACTTGATTTGTTGTTTTTTAACTTCCTTAGTTCTTTAGATATCCTGGATATTAGCCCTCTGTCAGATATAGGGTTGGCGAAGATCCTTTCCCAGTCTGTAGGCTGTCATTTTGTGTTGATGACAGTGTCTTTTGCTTTACAGAAGCTTTTCAGTTTCATGAGGTCCCATTTATTGATTGTTGCTCTTAGAGCCTGTGCTGTTGGTGTTCTGTTCATCTGCCTAGCTTCCATCTTTGGGACTTTGATGACTATAAATCTAATACCAGGCAAGCACTCTGCCACTGAGACACATTCCCAGCCCCAGGTTTCTCATTTCTTATGTCTGCTTTGAGTAGTTATGAAGAAAAAAATGTGGGAAATGAGAGGCTTCCCTGGAGTAATCAAGAATGTTCTTCTGTCCTCCATATTTTTTATGCCCAGATATTTGGCTTGTATGCGAGTCACAAAGGTGACTAGGCATGGTCCACTCTCAGAGAACTCATGTTTTGCTGGAGGAAAGCTAAATGCATTCCCATTCTAGCATAACAACAAGTGTATGTGTGCACAGATAGGAGTATATGACGGGAGAGGCCAAAGGTGACTGTCTAGAAGGTGAAAGGTGATCAAGACCTGGATATGGTATGAGAGTTTATAATATTAGAGGGGTCACAGTGCACAGGTAGTGTGTAGACTGGTAGTTTGATTTTAGGTGGAGCAGAAATGAATAGAGATGTTCTGGGAAATGAAGTTGCATAGGTAAATGGGTCAGATATTGTGTGGTTTTAAAGAACCCTGTTATATAGGAAATAAAGGACACCTAAAGAGGGCTGCAGAGGTAACTCAGTGGTACAGCAAAAGCTTAGTATGTACAGAGCCCAGGGTTTGATTTCCATCACCAGAGAGGGTAAATGTTTTAATCTGATTATGTGGCCTGAGCTATGATTTGGAACGGTTATTTGAATGTATGGGGATTGTACCTGAAGAGGCCAATGTGTGAAGGTCTCCACCTCAGAGAGAAAACAGTGACAGTGCTCCAAAGAAGAGATGTGGGTGGTGAGCATTAGAGCAGTAAAGGCAGCTATGGAGAAAGATGGGTAGATTTGACAGATTATTCATTACTCAGGGATGAAGTATAGAATCACTTGAGATCTACAAAGGACACAGAGTAAGATGTAAAGGTAAGCTGTATTGAAAGTGGTAGCCTTTCGGGCAGTCTAGGATAATGCTGAAAACACTGGACCAAAACTTTGGAATATGTATGGGTTCTAATTATAACTGTGACCTGGGCTCGTTATGTGATATACCTGAGTCTCTCTGTAGCTAGGGAGTTGAGTTAGGTAAAGTCCCTAGATGTTTTTCAAGTCCCCTTTTTACTCAGATGGAGTATAACATAAAGGAAAGACCACCAGATTTACAGCTTTGCTATTGACCATCCCTAAATTAGAGACCCATTGTAGTAAGAGCTTTGGCAAGTTCCAGAACAGCTTTGTGCTTCATAATCCTAATAAGAGTAAGGGAGACGTTAGCAGCACAGCCTACTACAGGAGTTACTTTGAGACGAGGAGAGCGGTTGTTAGAATAAACTTTGAGTTGGTTATGACACACTGGGACTACTCGTTGAATATTATTACTGTAGTAGTGTTCTTAGGCCCACTTTCTTGGGGAAGTGACGTACAGAAATGCATAGAAGAACATTCTGAGTTGTGTGGGAGGGGCAGGGAGAATTAACCAAAAATCTAAAGACAGCAAAGCACAATGGTATGTTTAAGAAGAATTAGGTTTCTGGTGCTGAATTTAGGGACATTTGAAGGAATAAATAATAATTAGGATCAGAAAAGAAAATTCATGTGAAATTATAACATCTTTACATTAGGCTAACAAATTTTGAGCTTTATCCTATAAACAGGGAGGAACCCTTGAAAATTTTTAAGATAGAATGGAGATGAAATATGAGTCTGGAAAGACCCCTGTGTTCAAACTTTCTGGTTCTGTTGCTCTCATTGTGGAGTTCCTGTCCTCTCCAGATCTTACTATTTCCCACTTCTTACATAAGATTCCATGCACTCTGCCCAACAGTTGGTCATAAGTCTCAGCATCTGCTCTGAAAGTCTGTAGGGCAGGGCCTTTCAGTGGCCCTCTGTTTCCTGTTTTCTTCTTCTTCTGATGTCCATCCTCTTTGCCTTTTGGGATGGGGATTCAGCATTTTAGTCAGGGTCCTTCCTCTTGATTAATTTCTTTAGATATACAGATTTTAGTAAGTTTATCCTATATTATATGTCTATATGAGTGAGTATATACCATATGAGTACCATGCATGGACTTAACCTAGAACCCCTGCACAGATGTAGTCCATGGCAGTTTAGTGTCCAAGTGGGTTCCATAGTAATGGAAAGAGGGACTGCCTCTGGCATAAACTGAATGGCCTGCTCTTTGATCACCTCCTCCTGAGGGGGGAGCAGCCTTACCAGGCCACAGAAGATGACAATGCAGCCACTCCTGATGAGATCTGATAGACTAAGATCAGAAGGAAGGAGAGGGAGACCTCCCCTATCAGTGGACTTGGTGAGGGGCATGTGTGAAGAAGGAGGAGGGAAGGTGGGATTAGGAGGGGAGGAGGGAGGGGTTTATGGGGAGATACAAAGTGAATAAAGTGTAATTAATAAAAGTTAAAAAAAAAGGACTGTCTGGCACACAGTTCAAGTGGATACAGGTCATGATGAAGTAGACAAGGCAGACGGCATACATTAAAAGGCTGTGGCTATCAAAAAAAAAAAAGAATGGAGATGAAATTAGAAGAAGAGAAGCAGATTTATTTAGCAGAAAATTATTAAGTGTATCAGATATACCACAGTAGCCAAGACAGCTGAAGTTTTCCTCTGGCCTTCCAGCAGCTTAAATTCCAGTGGTATAAGTTATGCAATAAATAATAGATTAAAAATGCTTTCAAATAATAATATGATCTTTAAAGATAAAGTAGAAAAATGTATTAGAAACGGGGAAGGGGAAGAAGTTAGAGACTTCTATGAAAGCAAGTCCTTTGATCCATCTCCAAATGAAGAGACAGGGCCAACCTGTATTGGGACAAATGCACTCTAAGCAAAACTGCTAAGAACCTGGCTCCTGAGTAGGGATGGTGCGTAATGTGTTACAGAAAAAGAGCCCCTAGTGTGGCTGGCCTCTGGAGAGGGGTCAGTGGAGAAGCGATGAGGTAGGAGGTAGGAGGTAGGCATGGGCTAATCCTATCCAGCCATGTGGGTTGTGGAAGGCTGTTTAGGTGGCGATGGTATAAGCACAGGAAGCCCGGGAGGGTTTGAGCAGGGAAGAGACATTCTTTGATAACACACTTCTTAAAGGTCCACTCAGGCTGTGTGTAGGCATGTGTGTAAGACGGAGTCCACTCCTGAGCTCGTTTCCCCAGCTTCTTTCTCATGATGCCCTTTCTAAGGGGGTTTGCCATCTTACTTTCTATTCCTTCTCCTATAAAAGGCTCCTATTCTAGCCTAGGCAGGGTAATGTCCAACACCAAAATGATACTGACCTTTGGCAAATGTATACAAGAATTATTGAGATGATATAGACAAATGGAGCTAAGTTAGACTCCTTTCTTTTTCCAGAAAGAGCAATTTTTTTTTATATGCCTGGTGATTTCATTTGTCCTGTCTGTGATTTTTCTGTTCGTGTGGGCAGAAACCTCCAATGAGTACAACGGCTTTGACTGGTGAGTGTCATTTTCCGTATTTTTATTGCTATATGGGCTTCTTTGTTGGATAGTTACTTGTGATCCCCCAGGTTGAAAAGATCTGGTGGTTCGGTAGAGAGGGAAGACAAAAGTGGGTTTTGCACAGCTGTGGGTAAGAGGTGTAACCCCAGGGCAGTAGTCAAATGCTCAGCACCCAGACTCACACTTTCCTTCCGCCTGTGCTCAGCCGCACACTACACACCCACTGGTGTTCACAGCTTTCTCCGTGTGCCCAACACCCCCAGCCCTCAGATAGGATTCTCTGCCGTCTTCACAACGGAATCTCTGACCACTGACGCCCGTACTGCTTGCTCTTCATGATGATGTCCCTACCCCTGCTTTCTCCGCTTTCCCTACAGCCTCTGTTTCCTTCTCTTGTTTTTAGAGTCCTTTGGGACTCTGAACACAGGGACGCACATCCCTTCTCAGCGCCCCTTCATGGCTAAACTACTCCTGCACCACTCTGACAAACCAGCTTTTCTGGCCCAATTACTTCTAACACTGTTGTAAACATGACCTGTTATTTGGTGTCTGTGGAAGAGGGCATGTTTAGATATAAAGCTTTCTCTTTTTTTCTTAATTAAATGCAATTCATTTTTCTCTTTATAAGAGAAAAGTTAAATATTAGAGTTAAATCTAGTTGGTTATTTTAAATGTAAAAAATGCAGAAATTAGGGCTAGAGAGATGCTCAGTGGATAAAGGCACGTCCCGCAGAGCCTACTGCTCTGAGTTCAGTCCCCAGGACCCATATGGCAGAAGGAGAGAACTGATTCCTGCAAACTGTCCTCTGAATTCCACACATGAGAACATACCTGTTCAGTGAATAGACTATAACAATTTTATAAACGCAGAAAATTAGGAAATATCTAGTCACATTTTCAGTTGAGAACCATGACCCAGCTTTTTCCTGTGCTTATTTTATACCATTATGTTCATACTATTTTTATAACTTTGCTTTGGCTTTTTACATAAAATAACCATAAACATTCAACAAAGTATTGAAACTCATTTTGAATATTATTTTAAGTGATTTCAGAATATGACATAAAGATGCACTAACCTTGCTTTCTGTGTGGTGGGGGTGGTAGGACAGGGTCAGAGCCTTGCTATAGAGCTTAGGCTGGTCTCAAACACGCAATCTCATTGACCCCATCCCCACATTTCAAGTGTGGGGTTACAAGTCTCTGCCACCATGGCTGAATAGCTGGGGTTTGTTTGTTTGTTTGTTTGTTTGTTTTCAGCTTGGCATTATAAACAATATTCATGTCCTAATAAGATAATGATTAAGTGAAATCTTGAGTTTAACTAATGTTCCTCACAACATATCAGTACAACTGGCATTAAATTAAGAAGAACGAACACTTAAAATCAATTCTGTTCTTTGCCAAAGTACTTTCTCAAAAGATTATGGCCAGTTCCGCTTTCAGCAGAGGTAAATGGCAATTCCTGAATGAAGCTTCCAATGGTAGCATTAAATATTCCAATTTTGATGACTCAAAGAAGTCTTCTTGATGGAGTTGTTTTAATTTAAAAAATATATATTTTAAAATATATATTCTCTTTAGAAATGTGTCTTCCTGTGTGCATTTTATGCTGTGAGCATGTTCAATAAGTTTTTATCAGTTTCTACACAATCTTTATTATGGATCAGTTCCAAATTAATATTTAGCACATGTATTTCAATTGTTCTGTATATGTATGATTTTAAGATATCTGGCATTGAGATTTACAGAGGACTAAGGTTTTACAGTTTTAGTACTCACAGTTTTTTTTTCTAGTCTTTTGCTGTATTTCTTTCTTTCTTTATTAATTAATTAAATAATTTGCATCCCAGGAGGAACCTTTCCTCCCTCCTCTCCTCTCAGTCCCTCCCTGACTTTTCCTTCCTTTCACCTTTGTCTGCCCTCCCTTTTTTCTCAAAGAAGGGGAGACCTCCCATGGGTATCAACCTGCCTTGGCACACCAAGTAGGACTGGGTGCATCTTCTGTTGAGGCCAGACAAGGCATCCCAGTTAAGGGGAAGGGACCCAAAGGCCAGCAACAGAGTCGGAGATAGTCCCTGGTTCTGCTATTGGAGGTCCCACATGAGGACCAAGCTATTCCCATTCCATGGCTGCTCTCTGGTTGGTGGTTCCGTCTCTATGAGCCCCTGTGGGTTCAGGTTAGTTGATTTTGTAGGTTTTCTTGTGGTGTCCTTGACTTTTCTTGCTCTTTCAATCCTTCCTCCCCTTCTTCCATAAGATTCCCCGTGCTTTGCCTAATGTTTGGCTGTGGGTCTCTGCATCATTTTTCATCAGCCTCTGGGTTGAAATCACTCAGATGACAGTTATGTTAGGCTCTTGTCTGCAAGTATAGCAGAATATTATTAATAGTGTGAGTGGTGGCTTGCTTTCATGACATGTGACTCAAGTTGGGCCAGTCATTGGTTAGCTAGGTTGAAGGTTTTGTGTGTAAGGTTCCTGTCCCACTCCCTCCACTGGAAGTCCTGCATGGCTACAGGAGGTGGCTACTTCAGGCTCCATCAACCAGCCCCAACATCCCTCTTCTAGCCTGCTGCTAGGAGTCTCAGCTAGGGTCACTGCTATAGACTCCCATGAGCCTCCCCCTTCCCAGAGATGCTCCCTCAATGATTTCTGTTCTCTCTCTCAGCCCTCTCCCCCTTTCCCCACACTTGATCCCCATCCCACCTCTGTTCCCCTCCCTATCCCCTCTCCCACCCAGTTCCCTTTCTCCATCTACTTCAAATGTGTATTTTATTTCTCCTTCTGAATGAGAGCCAAGCATCCTCCCTTGGGCCCTCCTTATTACTTAGCTTCTTTGGGTCTGTGGATTGTAGGATGGCTATCCGGTACTTTAGGGCTAATATCCACTTACAAATAAATACGTATCATGCATGTCTTTCTGGGTCTGGGTTACCTCACTTAGGATAATCTTATCTAGTTCCATCCATTTGCCTGCAAATTTCATGGTGTCCTTGTAGTATTCCATTGTGTAAATGTACCACATTTTCTTTATCTGTTCTTTGGCTGAGGGACTGATAGGTTGCATCCAGTTTCTGGCTATTATGAATAAAGCTGCTATGAATGTAATTGAGCAAGTGTCCTTGTAGTATGGTATGGCGTCTTTTGGGTATATGTCCAGGAGTCATATACCTGGGTCTTGAGGTAGAACTATTCCCAGTTTTCTGAGAAACCACCAGACTGATTTCTAAAGTGGTTGTACAAATTTACATTCCCACCAGCAATAGAAGAGTGTTCCCCTTGTTCCACATCCTTGTCAGCATGTGCTGCCACCTGATTTTTTTTCTTTCATGTCTATTTGATGTTCTTTAAGTTTCTTGTACATTTATAGGCATCTCTTTCTTTAGGTTAGGGACATTTTCTTCTATGATTTTGTTGAAAATATTCACTGGGCCTTTGAGCTGGGAATCTTTTCCTTCTTCTATTACTATTATTCTTAGATTTGGTCTTTTCATAGTATCCCAAATTTCCTGGATATTTTGTGTTAGAAACTTTTTAGATATGGCATTTTCTTTGATGTATCAATTTATTTTATCATGTCTTCTATGCCTGAGATTCTCTCTTCTGTCTCTTGTATTCTGTTGGTGATGCTTTGTGTCTGTAGCTTCTGTTCTCTTACCTGGGTTTTCCATCTCCAGGATTCCCTCTGTTTGTGTTTTCTTTATTGCTTCTATTTCCATTTGCAGCTCTTGAACCATTTTATTCATTTCCTTCACCTGTTTGACTGTATTTTCCTGTATTTCTTTAAGGGATTTATTTATTTTCTCTTTAAAGGCCTCTATCATCACAAGATTGGATTTAAGGTCATTTTCTTGTGATTCATCTGTGTTAGGATATCCTGGATTGTTGTGTAGCTGGTTTCAGATGGTGCCGTATTGCCCTGCCTCTTGTTGATTGTGTTCTTACACTGGCCTTTAGCTTTCTGGTTGTTGCTGGTATTTGCAAACCTCAGATAATACAGGCCACGTTGTGAGCCAGAAAACGGAGCATCTGCAAGCAGGTGCTCTTCACCTCAGTCCTGGGTGGCAGCAAGCCTCCAGGGATGAAGGTTGAGCTGTGGGCCAGAAAACGGAGCATCTGCAAGCAGGTGCTCTTCACCTCTGTCCTCCGTGGCAGCAAGCCTCCAGGGATGAAAGTTGAGCTGTGGGCCCAGAGTGGAATGCACAGGGTGGTTCCAGATGGCATCAGGCCTCTAGGAGTGCAGGTGTAGGTGTGAGCCAGGGGAACTCACAGGGGACAGGGCACAGCTCACTGCTGTTAGGCTTACACAGGGGGAACTCAGCAGGGGGGGGGGGGCTGGAGCTTAAGAGACTCAGCTGTCTGTCCCAGGTGGCGGCAGGCCTCCAGGGATGCAGGCTGAGTGATGGGCTGAGAACTGGGAATACTATTCACAGTTTTTACCTCCCTCACCTCTTGAGTGTGCTCAAAGTCCTGTAGCTAAGCACAACAGAAGCTGTCTGGTGGTGAGATACATAAAGCCCTTGAATTTCCTTTAATAAGAATCTGCTCGAGACTATTTTTGAAAGTTTCTATTTTTGTGAAGATGGCTGTATTTCATCTTTATCCTTGAAGAATAAAGCCTTAGACAGCTTAGCTTTCTAATCTGCAGTTACTCTCTTAGCACTGTGATTCACTGCCATCTTCTTGCTTTGTTTATGCTGAGAAGTATGATATTCATCTATGTTCTTTTGAACCTAATCTGTCCTTGAACATTCTGCCTTCTTTTAAGAGTTTTCTCTTTGTTTGGTTTCCATAGTTTTATGATGACGTGGTGGGTGTGGTGGGTGTGTTTTTCTTTGTTTCCATTCTGCTTTAAGCTTCTGTTGCTTCTTTATTTTTTCTTTTTTTAAATTTCATTTTTTAAATTTATTACAATTTATTCACTTTGCATCCCAGCTGTAGCCCCCTCCCTCGTCCTCTCTCAATCCTATCCTCCCTCCCTCTTCTCTCCCATGCCGCCCCCAAGTCCACTGATGGTGGAGGACCTCCTCCCCTTCCATCTGACCTGTTGCTTCTTTAATCTTCAAGTTTGAAATCAGTGGAAGAGACTTTCTGCTGTCAGCCTGGCTAAGCTGGACCTTAATTTCTCTTCACTATACAATTTCAGGTTCAGGTGAAACTGGCATACAGTTTGGAAGGCAAAAGTGAGACATGGCCATCTTATGCCTTGAAGTTTGCTAATATGCATGTGTGTGTTCCTGCTGATCTGCAGGCTACCTTGTTGATATGGAGAACATTTAAATCTGCAACCCCTTATCTTTGACTACACCTCTTTGACAGCTTGCCTAAGTATTATATGAGCTTTATTTGTTTGTTTTAAGACAGGGTTTCTCTGTGAAGTCTTGGCTGTCCTGAAACTGAATCTATAGACTAGGCTGCCTGGAACTCATAGAGATCCATCTTCATCTGCTTCCCAAGTGGTGGTATTAAAGGCGTGTGCCATCACAGCCCAGCCCTATCACAACATCATGGTGAAGATTTTGTAGGTTGCTCATGCTCTCAAAGCTGCAAGTGGTAAAAGTCAATCCTGGCTTTGAATTTGTCCTTATAGGCTCCATCCAGTACATTGTGAAAGTTCTAGTTTGCTCTCACTCTTTCCATTTCAAGATTTTCTTCCTGACTGCCCATCTGACTAACAGTGACTCAGGTGAGGCCTAACACAACACAGGACAGCAACCTCTCGTGCAGATTTCACCGTGTCCCATAATTGTGAGAACAGCCCTATCCTAAATCTTGCTCTGTACTACTCATAGTGGTTCTGTTTCTGTGAGCAAACCTTTACACAGGACATAGCCGTAGCAGTTCTTGGGAAATACATTTTTTTATTAAAAAAAAAGATTTATTTTTAATTTTTAAATTATGTTTATATGTGTTTGTGCATGTATGTAGAGATATGTGCACTTCAGGACAAGATTTTTAGATAGAAGGTTGGTGTTATTGAGGCTGCATATAGAATGCTATTCAGATTGATTAAGAAGACTGATATCCTGACAGGCAAAGTGGCTCAACAGGTAAAGGTGCTTCTCGCCGGGCCTCACAGCCTAAATTCGGTCCCTGATCCCACTCAGACGGTATAAGGCAAGAACTGACCCCCACAAGAAGCCTCTGGCTGCCGTGTGCGCACTGTGACATGGACCTCCTGCAGCCCAAATAAGTAAATACAAACAACAGTTGTTGTTTGAGACAGAGTTTCTCTGAGTAGCCCTGGCTGTCCTGGGCTCACTTTGTAGATCACGCTGGCCTCGAACTCACAGATGGTATCCCTGCACTGGCCTAGTGAGAGAGCACCCCTGCACTGGTCTAGTGACAAAGTACCTACCCCTGCACTGGATAAGAGTGTATGGGTTCAGTCAAATGGGTAGTGATACTTACCAGTGATCAAATACCTTAAAGACAGCTTTTTGGATTGAAAAGAAATAAAAATACATAATATAGTTAGCAAAATGATTATGAAGAAAGATGGCCCATTAAATGTCAATTCTTTTCCTTGTCATTTGAAAGCAAAGTCAGCATCAACACTCAGTTACTGTTTGAGGAATAATACTTTGGCTTCATGTAATACACTATTAAGGTCATCTTTGATCTTTTTTTATTTCATCTTCTTTTCAAGGTCTATTTGACTATTTAATTATAAGACATGTACTTTTTTAACCAATACTATTTTTGTTTTATATCAAGTCTTTAAGAAGACTTGATATTAAGACTCCAAAAAGCATTTTAAAAAACTTTTAAAAATATTTCTTTTTATTTGTGTGTGTGTGTGTGTGTGTGTGTGTGTGTGTGTACATGTATCACATGCATGTGTGGAAGCAAGAGGACAACTTGCAGGAGTGGGTACTCTCCTTTCACCATGTGGGTTCTGAGGATCAAGCTCATGTCATCCCGCTTGGAAGCACCTTTACCCACTGAATCATCTCACCAGATTTGGATTTTTGCTAAATTTTTCTGAATCTTTTCTGATGGTTCTATTAATTGTGTTTTGTTGGGCACAATGTCATCTATTTTGAGAGCATCACTGGGTCCCCTTTTTGACCTCTCTCCAGCCTCTGAGGGGGTATATCAGACCTGGGCCTCCCTCAGCTGGACTCGTGGTTACCCCTGAGCCACATCCCTAGCCCTCATTCCGTCGGCTCCCTTTTGCAGAGCGCCTTCCCACGCAGTGTCTTTACCCGCGGAGCTTCTTGCTATGAAAGCTGCCTGCCTGTTTTATATCGTTGAAGTATTTCTCTAGTCTTTGAGTGGAAATGAGGTAATTTCTGTTTTCTTGAAATGAGAAGTGTGGATTCTGTATCATAGAAAACCTAGACAAATACAATTGTCTCTCCTCACAAGTCAGTAGTTCTCCCTCAGATGGTACTTTAGGAATGGCATGCTTAGAACACAGCTCTCATACAGAGCAGAGAAATTAATGTGGTGGTGATGAGTGCAGTTATGTAACAAGGTATACATGTGCCTGGACAAGGGGCTTGAAAGGTAGAAACAACTAATCATATTGACATAATTAATTTAGGGGAAAATTCTTTTCTTTTGATATTGTAGAATTTCCACATCACATTGTTTATGAAAGATGATATAAATTTGAATATTTATTATAAATAACTTTTTAAACATCTCTCCACTTATAGAGGTTTCATTAATATCTCTGGTTGCTACGGTACAAAATTAAAATTAAAAATACCCCAAAGTGGGTACAGATCTGTCCAAAAAGTGCTTCTCTTCTTGTCCCCCCATCTTTAACCCTTTGTTTAGTCTGTTCTTGTCTCTACCCTTAATGTAGATGCTATTACTGATTTCTACTATATTTTAAGGACTGAACCTTTTTTTCAGGGTTGTTTATCTGGGGACAGGACGCTGGTTCTTCTGGTCCATTGTTGTACTGAGTGCAGCGGGGATCATGGCTGTCTATACTTTCTTGCTTTTGGTGAGTGATGATTCTCATTTCCATTTCTTGAGCAGCCTCATGGGATGCTCCTTCTGTGCTATTGTATCTATCAAGAGTCTTTGATGTTAGTAAAGTCAGAGTTTACATCCGCTGCTTCAGCTTCATCCACAAGGCGTGGCTGAAGGAGATTTATGCTGTTTAGAGGATGTGTCTAATTAAGCCGAACCTTGAGAGGGTGACACAACACCCCTCTTCTATTCCCCATTTTATACTCTATCCATTGCCTCACTCAATATTATAGTTTAAACACCCAGAGCTTTACACCCACAGTCTGGGACTTACACATCAAACCAGCTCAACTATGCAAATGCTAGTCACCTGGTTCAGATGCAAATTATTTGTATATGACCCTGCCTCTGTTGCAAGATATGGTAAAGGCATGTTGCATGAAAAAGATACACCATGTAAGAGAAAGGTCCATGGAAGTGGAGAACCAAACAGAAAAATAACTTCAGCTGAAAACTGTGTGCTTACTTAAATTTCATAATTCTGTTTCCACTGATTTCCTCTCTGACACAGAAGAGTCCACCCCTCAAATATATTGCCAATTGCAATATTTTCTTCTAAAATTATTAGTTATTATGAAAGTATTGTAAAAAGTATTGAGTATGTAGAAATCAGTAAAAGTAAAACATGTAGTTTCTGTCTTCATGGAGATCCCCTTGATAGAGATAATGTGTTTGTTCTGTTTCTCACTGCTGTGACAACATACCTGACAAATGAAGCTTGAGGGAAGGTTTGTCTGACTTAAAGTCTGAGAGGATGTAGTCTTTTGTGGTTATGGTTATGGTTGTTTCTTCATTCAGTGTTTAGAATCTCATAGACAATAAGTCACAGACAAAAATAACTACTTGTGATGGAACTTTGTAACTATCTCTATAGACACTCACATGAAATTTGTCAGGGGCTTTAAGAGGGGAGAGATAACTTCCAACAAAGAACATCAAATAAATCTTAGGAAAGGTAGCACCGGAGGCCTGGAGAGACAGTGTAGTCAGTAAAGTGTGTGCTGGGTAAGCATGCGGACCTAAGTTCAGACCTCCAGAGTCAGACCCAGGGCTGCCGTGGAGACAGCGCAGACACAGGTAAGTCCCTGAAGATCACTGACGAGGTAATGAAGAACTTGAGGTTCAGTGAGAGACGGTTATCCAATAGAAGTGCTCCATGTACTTGTCTGTGTGCATGCATATCCACGAGCACAAATGACCACATATGCATACATCCTCACCAACAAGCACACACACACGCATTCATATCAACAAGTACACACACACACCAAGTACACATACACACACATCCCCACCAACAGGTACACACACACACTCATATCAACAAGTACACATACACACACACACACACACACACACACACACCCCAACAAGTATACACACACACAAAGTAGCAGGATTGGAGTGGGATCTTGAGCAGATGATGGTTTTGGACATAGTGGGATTGAAATGGAAAGGAACATTGAGAGCTGAGAAAACGTATTGTGAGAGAGTAATAAGAGAAAAAATATATTTGCTCTCTTGTTGGGAAGGGAACAATGTAGATGAGTGGGGAGACACAGCATGTGACAGCTTTTGAAAGGCTTTGAAAGGAAGAGGTACCTGACAAACATGGGTTTGCATTTTAGGAAACACATTCTAAAAGTTGTGATGTGAATGTAGAGAGACAAGCTAAGACTTTCTTTTCAGCGAGGAAGGTACAGATGATATGCTTGAGGCTAAATTCTGGCCACTGAATTGTACTGTGCTTACAGACAATTAGTGGGGAATGGGATTGTTAGCTTCCAGGGTGAGAATACTGGTGTCTAGCAGAGTCTTGGTTTCAACAGACTACATTAGCCTGCCTCTCTTGGAGAATGGTGAAAAAAGAGAGAGGCCTGGCTTCACTGAAGTTCCCTGTCTGTCATTAGGGTGCTTGCTTTGAGAGCTCAGTGTAAAGCTCAGTGGTTAGGATACTGTACTAGGCCTCAAGTTTGATTCCCAGCAGGGAAAAGCAAAGGTTATTGACCTAGTAATTTTGGCCAAGATTACTATAACTTGACTAAACTATCCTAAGCTTTGGTTGCTTTCTAATTGATAAAGATAATATTTAATAAAATTCTATTTTATAGGGCTGAGTAAAAAATAAATAAAATCATATATACAAAATTATTGTAGTAAAAGGTAAGAGCTTTGTACATGAATATGCCAACATCTGGAGACTCGAGTTTCTATGTTCATACTGACTTTGTGACTGGCTTGATTTAGACTTAGATTTGAAAATGTACTGAGCATATTCCAATGTTAATGATAATCATAACATCAGCACCAGTTCTGGAAGAAAGGTTTTAAATGACCCTTGGGAGAGCTGTCTCTTAAACTCTCTTCTCTTATAAGTGACCCTAAGTAATATCAGGCATGAAGTCCATCACGGAAAATAATGTACAGGAACTCAGAAAGCATCAGTGGTAATGGCTGTAAGATCCCAGAGGGAAGAATAATGAATTCTTCCTAGGGTTCTAGTAGAAGCTACAGACAGGAAATGACATTTGAACTGGCTCCATGGGTCAGTGGCATGGGGGAAGAAGAGCTTAAAAAGGACGAGCAGTAACAAGGCAAGAAAAAGTGAAAAGTAGCCCAAGAAGCAAAGGTGGTGCCCATCATGAGCGGCAACAGAACTACGGAACTGCTCTGGGCAGGACTTTAGTAACTTGAAAATAATTGCCTTGCCTTCTTTGCTTTGCAGTTATTTGGGGTTTTGTTGCTCTGGGAAAGGATTGAACTAAAGCTACATACAGCTCATAAGGTAAGACAACTCAGTCCTCACAGGTGGCCGTAGACAGGCTGGCAGGAGCTCCCAGAGTTCCATGCTACACCTGCAACTGGCCCTCTTTCATTGTTCCTTGGACAGATCTGCTTGTCCAATTTTAACTGAAATAAGTACATTTCTGACAGTAGGAACTGAAATACCAGCCTAAAAAGCTATACCTTCTCTCTCTCTCTCTTTTTCTCTCTCTCTCTGTTTCATGTCATATTCACCAGCTTTGTTCTTCCTGTCCCAGTGAAATCTTAGGCAAATTCCTTACTTTTGCAATTCTTTTCCATCACAATAGCATTCTTATTTCAGACATTAAAATTGTAGTTCACTGTAGTAAACCAGTCTCTAACCCTATGGATCTAAAACATTCTGCTTCTTCTATTTGGGCTTGACTCAGCTTCTGCCTGTCATGGTGGAGAGGGCAGTGGCTCTTTCCTTGATGACATTTTTTTTCTTAGGTCAGTGCTTGCTTTCTTATGATCCCCCTGAAACTTCTCCTTTAATATCTACTTGACAAGTCCCTTTGAAATGATACCAACATGGCTTCTCTCAAACAGTTCATACCTGGTCCCCAGGTCCAGGTATTCTCTGTGGAATAGCATAGTTGCAACATGGAGTTTCTGGCTTTGTTCTATCGTGGACTAGATCAGCTCCAGTGGTGGCATGCTTTTCCTTTTTTTTTTCTTTCTCTTTCTTATTTTTTTATAATTTTTTTATTTTTATTTTTATTAATTACAGTTTATTCACTTTGTATCACCCCCCTGTAGGTACTTCCCTCCTCCCCTCCCACTCTTACCGTCCCTCCCCCTTCTCTACCCATGCCCCTCCCCCAGTCCGCTAATAGGGGAGGTCTTCCTCCCCTTCCTTCTGATCCTAGTCTATCAGGTCTTATCAGGAGGGACTGCATTGTCTTCTTCTGTGGCCTGGTAAGGCTGCTCCCCCCTCAGGGGGAGGTGATCAAAGAGCAGGCCAATCAGTTCATGTCAGAGATAGTCCCTGTTCCCATTATTGGGTAACCCACTTGGACACTGAACTGCCATGGGCTACATCTGTGCAGGGGTTCTATGTTATCTCCATGAATGGTCCTTGGTTGGAGTGTCAGCCTCAGAAAAGACCCCTGGGCCCAGATATTTTGGTTCTGTTGCTCTCCTTGTGGAGCTCCTGTCCTCTCCAGATCTTACTATTTCCCTCTTCTTTCATAAAATTCCCTGCACTCTGCCCAAAGTTTGGCTGTGAGTCTCAGCATCTGCTTTAGTACCTTGCTGAGTAGTCTTTCAGAGGCCCTCTGTGGTAGGCTCCTGTCTTGTTTCTTGTTTTCACCTTCTTCCGATGTCTATGTTTGCCTTTCTGCATAAAGATTGAGCATCTTACCCAGGGTCCTCCTTCTTGCTTAGCTTTTTTAGATGTACAGATTTTAGTATGTTTGTCCTATATTATAGATCTAGTATCCACTTATAAGTGAGTATATACCCTGTGTATCTCTCTGCTTCTGGGAGACCTCACTCAGGATGATCTTTTCTAGATCCCACAATTTGCCTGCAAGTTTCATAATGTCCTTGTTTTTAATTGCTGAGTAGTATTCCATTGTGTAAATGTACCACAATTTCTGTATCCATTCCTCAATTGAGGGACATCTGGGTTGTTTCCAGGTTCTGGCTATTATGAATAAAGCTGCTACAAACATGGTTGAACAAATGTCCTTGTTGTATACTTGAGCATACCTTGGACATATGCTTAGAAGTGGTAAAGCTGGATCTTGAGATAGCATTATTCCTAATTCTCAGAGAAAACACCAGATTGATTTCCAAAGTGGTAGTACAAGTTTACATTCCCACTAGCAATGGAGGAGGGTTCCCCTTTTCTCCACATCCTCTTCAGCATGTGTTGTCATTTGAGTTTTTGATCTTAGCCATTCTGATGGGTGTAAGGTGAGAAATCTCAGGGTTGTTTTGATTTGCATTTCCCTGATGACTAAGGACACTGAGCATTTCTTTGGGTGTTTCTCTGCCATTCTATATTCCTCTACAGAGAATTCTGTTTAGCTCTGTACCCCCCCCTTTTTTTTTTTTTTTTACAGTTTTCTTTCTTCTTTTTTAAAAAGATCTTCTCAAGCATGGTTGTAAAATATGGGAACATGTCAAGTCTTTTAAGCGGCATTCTTAAATTTCCTTTTACTCAAATGAGAAATTGCAAGTATAACTTAAGTATTATAAGTATTTTATAAGTATTATAAAATAAATGGAAATTGATATCATGAGCTCTTCCATGAGAAGAATATATATTGAAAAGAAAAAAAACTTATTGCTAATCCTATTGGCTTTAGACTTTGGACACTATTATGAATTAATCACCACCAAGAAAATTATTATTCCATCAGCCCCTTTTCAATAAATCTTTAACCAAGAAATTGTTGGCATCCTGCTTTCAGTAAGCATAGCTATTATCATTAGCCAAGAGCAGATGGGGCATAAGCCCTAGGCTAAATTGTAGCCCTAGAATCTTCTTTTTATTCACAATCAGCAAGATGTTGTTTGTTAGCTTTAAATGAGGATGCTAATGTCCAGTTAAGTCTTATATTTTAGTGACCTTTTTATTCTGCCTTACCTCTTTTGGATACACGTTATGATTATTGAATCCATTTCAGACAACAGAAGTGCTTGTATCTTATATTCTGGTATTCTGAAATAAAAATCTCCGATAAACACTCCTTATTAGTAAAGTTAGACTGGCTTAAAATTAGGCCTTCTTCTTGGCTGGCATCATCGTTAGAATTAATTCCTATATATCTTCAATAGGATTTTGTCCATTCAAGTTAATAAAATTTTGCCATTGTTTTTCAAACCTTCTTGTCCTGAACTATTTTGTGATCTAATTGCAGTTATGTATCTGTGGGCAATGAAAAGTGATGGAGGGGGATTATGGGATGAAGTGACCTTCCCTTGGAAAGTAATTACTTTGGTTAAGCCTTCAAACTAGCAAGAACAAGACCTATTGAGTCTGCCTCTGTTGGCAGGGGGTTACTTTAGGGCCTGGAGGTTTACTTTTGTCCTTTTTCAGAATAACCCAGAAGGGATAGAATTAGCACTAGGTCTAGAATCTTTTGATTACCTCGGGATGCCCAGAGAACACTTTCAGACTACAGTGATCAATCAAAACCACTTATAAACACACTAATAGCTTGACTTCCTTATAAAACCCCCTAAGGTATCAGTTAGCTAGCAATAATGGGATGCCTCTGAAATTTTCTGACAAGATAGACCTTATGTATATCGGTTGTTTTTACTTTAAATAACCCTGGAATTACAGGTTTTTATGGTGGCAAAAGGACTTCTTGGAGTTATATAATTAGCAGAGTGACAGATAAGGATGTTCTGTACACAAAATGACTCCATCTCTGTGAAGCAGCATTTCTGTATACTTGGCTCAAAACATACCCCACATTCTAATCTCAAAATCAGAGTGCTTTACTAATGCAGGAGAATAAAGACCTTTCATGAGTAGCTGTATTTTACAGGACCATAGTTCTCCAAGGGAAAATATTGTATTTGTTCCTTATGATTGCTTATATCCTTTAAGTCATTTGTAAAGTTTGGTATTGGGTAAGTGTTCAGTTCAACAGATCAGCTCCTGTATGAATTTAGTTTGATAACAGGCTGATAATGTTGCATTTATGTATTTGACTGCTTGGCTTGCACTTTTTTTCTTTAAGTCAAAAAGGAGGTAGAGGTTTGTAATGCTGTTATTGAAAGTGGGTGGCTGGGAAGGGTGAAGATGCTGGATTGGTGGCAGCATCAAACCACACAATTATGTAATTCCTTCCAGTTATACTGCACAGCCAAGACTCAAGAAAAGTGAAGGTAAGTTGCTGGAGCCACGCAACACTGAGGACTCTCAAGGTGATTAAACTGAAAAGACACAGTCCATGGTAGTACGCTTAATCACATGCAATTCACAAGGACAGTTCTGATCCAAATCTGGTGCCCAGACGTTCAAAGCCCTTTTTGTTTTCCCAGGTCTTCATTTTGCTAACAGTTCTGCTGTGTTCCTTCTTATTGAGTATTTTAAACCGATACTGGAAGGACAAGTGGCTGATAGCTGGGCTGTCCTTGCAGGTAAGCATCATCCTAGAGTTCTCATCATGGTGTCCTCTTGTGTCTAGTCTGACTTTTGGCCTTTTGTTCCAGATCTTTGCTCCCTTCGTGCACCTGAGCCTCTTAACTGTGATGATTATCATTTCCTGGCCTTTAGCCATCTGTGTGGCCCACTTGGAGTCAGAAGGTATATCATGTGAGGTGGAACCTTGCCTGACCTCCCCACCTTGTATACTCCACTCAGAGAAGCAGAGACGGTAGCTAGCCACCCATGTGCCTCTTTGAAATTTATTCAGTGTGTTATGTAGGGACGTTCCTTACAGTCTCACCAACCCCTGTAGCCTATCCCAGTATTTCTATTACTAAGCCAGCCTTCTTCAGAGAACGGTTCTTTAAGGAAAACATCATTTTCCCTCCATGTTAATGCACATCATTTATCTGGGGCAGATGGGCACAGCAGAGGGCATCTTAATTCTGCTTTGACCTGAGTGCTCCTCTATGACTTAACCTGTTCATTCACAAATATCACTGATTTCAATTTACACTGTGTCCAGAGAGCTCTGGTTGCATCAGGCCACTCAGAGAAGTTCCCTGTGAGTCTCTGTCATACTTAGGAACTTAAAGAAGCAGGAATGTGGCCTCTGCTGCTGGCTTCCTCTCTGTTCTTCACAGTGTTGGTGGAAACAAGACTTGAACTCTGTGTTGAACTGCTTTGCAAATGGAAAGCAGTAGCGTCTTCTTTCTACACCTCTTTTCTTACTATTGGTAAAATAAAAGACACTTGCTTCCTGGCTTGTGGGAAGGCGCAAGCAAGTGAAGGGCTGGTTTAATATTGGTGTTGTTTGTTTGTTTGTTTGTTTGTTGTTTGTTGTTTGTGTTGTGTTGTGTGTGTGTAGTAAATTTTAGAAAATATTTCTAGGACATGAACTTATAGTGAATATCAATGAACTGTTTTCTCTATTTTAGTTAGAATAAGAAAATACAGGATGGCAGATTACGAGCAAGAATTCCTGAAGAGATGTAATATATTCACAAGGTTAAGAGGTTAGAGCTGGAGATCTCAATTTGAAAGTCACTGAAACATAGGTAGTAACTAAAAAAAAAATGTGCAAGTGGGTGGAATCCTCAGAGGTGTAAAGTGGAAGGTGGGGAAGCAGTTGATAATAAGAATTAAGTATAGGCTGCAGAGTAGGAGACGGACGTGGGTGGAGTGTGGAGTGGGAAGGAGAGAAAGAAGGAGGGAAAGAAGCAAAACTTAATACTTATCAACTACTGTGAGTCAGCACTATTGTAACAACTCTGTGAAGATGATGTTAGCCGCTAGACAGACCTAATTTAGAGAAGAAAGATAAAGACCCAGAGAAGTTACATCATGTATCCTCAGTCACTATAAGGAGTGACACAGCTTAGCCTTTCCGTACATTTCTGTCAGTTAGTACCTTTTCCGCTGTGCCGCTCTGCCCTAAGTTAGAGAACCTCTTAGGATGATCTTTACAGATGTCAGGGCTTTTTTAGAGCCATCCAAACTCTCCTCCCAGATGCTGTTTCTTATATTGCCTTCCTCTCCTTCCTCCCCTCCCTCATCCAGCCTTCCCTCCCTTCCTCCCACCCACCTTCTGTACAGTTTCTACATTTTTACTTTCAAGTTCCAGCAGTAGTGCCTTAATAACGTCTGTCTTAAAATGTAGGTCAGTGGTGGAGCACTTGCCTAGCATATATGGTGCATGGATTCAAGACCCAACCCTGACAAATGTCTTCTTTTGAATAATACTGTGTATTAATATCTAAGTCCTGAAAGAGAGGATGTGACAGAAATAGAAAAGCAGATCATGGACTGTCTGCTTCTTTGGGTAGCTAGCTTTTAGAAATGGTTCTCCATCCCTCTTTTTCTTTTTACCCATTTTTCTTCTCTCCTTTCAACTTTTTCAGCTCTACAAATAGTTGCTGGATTGCCCTTCTTTATTATTCTCTTATGTCTTTATTTGATGCCACTGGGAATTTATTCTCCCTGCATTTTGAAGAAGGAGAATTTAGGGCCTAAGCCTGTCTTCTTTGGACATAGAGGCGCACCCATGGTAGGTCCAAGCATAATGAGCATGGATGAATGTAGGTATGTATGGATCATAAGGATGACAGAAGGGAGCCTCAGAAATGTCAGAGATCCTGGAGAGGAAAGACAATCTTGACATGACAAAAATAAGGAGTTAATTGCATATGTTGCCTTTGAACTCAGGTCATCTAACTCCTGGTCAGCTTATCTTTACTATGCCCAGTGTTCAACTGGATAGAGAGGAAGAGAGTTAGCCTCTTTGAAAAGAGAGCCCAGGAAGCCAAGCTCTGCTTCTCAAAGCCCCAGTTGCTCCCAGGCTCTATGTCTAACATGAAAGAAATGTTGGGAGAGGAGATGTTAAGGCATAGGGCTTGATGTCCTTTTCTTCCATAGATGGCGCCAGAGAATACCATGATGTCCTTTGAGAAGGCTGTTGAACTTGATGTCTTTGGCCTGGAGACAGATGTATATCTAAGGTAGGACTAGGGTAAAGGGCAAGAGGGGATTTATCTAATGTCAGGGGAAAGGACCGGTTGTCTCAAGGTTAAGGAGAATAAGCCTTGAAGAGTTTCTTCCATGTTTATATAGCATATTTGTATATGCCACATATATGAGCCACATTCCCTTATAAACTATGCCCTTTTACCTCTCTGTTCTTTACCATTGGCTCACAAAGCACATGTGATTCAGATGTGTTTTCAGTGTAAACCATGCTTACACCATAACCCTGTATACCTTCAGGACTTGCTCATTAACATTCCCTAATACCTGCTGCAGGCTAGGATGCCTGATGAGTGTTCAGGAAATGCAGCTGAGTGATATGTACATTCATCTTTACCTACCCAAGGGGAAAGAAGATGTGGCATAGCTACAGGTGACCGCAGAAGAAGGCCATTTGTGATGGCAAGTCTTTCAGAGAAGGATAAACCAAGTACAGAAGAGCCTCAGTGGAGGAAAGGATACCTCCTATTCTGTGAAAGAAACAGTCTATATGCTGACTGAAAGTTATGTTTGGGTATGCTTTAAAGGAAAATATTTTGCTAACCAGAGATGGAGGCATTCCAGACAAAAGCATCAATATATTGAAAGGCATCTTAATGAGCAATAACAAACCATTAGAACGCTCCATAAATGTGTAATGTACAGCAGAGTAGGTGTCTCAGGCTAGATGGCCTATTGGTTTCATTGTTGATTTGTTTCTTTGTATATGTTTTCTAATTTTATTATATTATTATTTGTTTGCTTATGCATTCATACATGTGTGCCATGGTGTGTGTGTAGAGGTCAGAGGATGTAATTGGTCCTTCCCTTCCATCATGTGGGTCCCAGAGATTAAGCTCAGATTGTCACAGTTGGTGGTGGGTCCCGTTGACTACTGAGGCATCTCACCAACTCAGTATTTGGTTTTTTCCTTTCTTTCTCTTTTTGTTTTTGTTTTGGGAAGCCAGAACTTGTGTAAGTAGGAAGGCCTTAAACTCACTAGCTGAGGATGGTGTAAACTTCTGATCTTATGCCCCTACTTCCTAAATGCTGGGACTACAGGTGTGTACCACCATATCCAGCTTTTAAACAATACAGGGCCTTGTACATGCCATACCCCAGTCCACTTCACTGTTGTTGTTGTTGTTTTAATATGCTGTGGAAAAAAATGAAAGTATCAGGTAGCAGGGTATAGCAATGGTCCAAAGAAAAACAAAGTGATACTTGGATCAGAGCAGGGCTAGGAAAGGCTATAGAATTCATGTACCTAGCATCTTTGGAAGTAGAAAGGCTTCATTTTTACTATGAATTTATTAGTATATAAATATGCTGAGCATGGAGTCCTGTTATACTCATTCAGTGAGGCAAACAGAAAAATGAACTTTTGATTTAACAGACGAGTAACCTGGGTTCAAAGAAAGGGAATGTAGTTCGGGTCATAAGGCTTAAAGTGTACGTGTTAAGGTAGAAATTATCATTTGATTACCAGATTCCAAATCGGGGGCTTTGGACTTTTAGATACATTTAAACTGAGTATTTTAATGGAGCTCCTTGTGTTGCTTCTGGAAGCATCAATGGGTGTGGGCTTAATGTGGTAAAGGTTCTGGTCCAGTGATCACACCTAAAACATGGTCTTATTCTGTGCTGTGATTTTAACTCTTGATATAGATTAACCCTCCAACTTTTTATTTCTCTGTTTCTTGACATCTCTTTCCAAAGATTATTTCTTCCAAATGCCTCTACCGCTTTCATAGTCACACCCACAGCTTCAGACTACCTTAGATTGCATGTCATCCAGGGTCACCAGGACATAAGAGCCATATCAGGAATTTTAACAAGGAAAGTACAAAATAAAGAACTACTGCATACTAAAAGAAGACTCTAATTTTACATAAAATAGCATAAAAATAGGTTTTACAGAAAAGCCTAATGTTTCTCTGGTTATCTTTGATTTGAGTAATTTGTTACTCCTCTTTTTTCTGGTTAATTTGTCTAAGGGTTTATCAATCTTGTATATTTTTAAAACACCCAGCTCTTAGATGCATTGTTTCTTTTTTTCTATTTCATTCATTCCTTCCCTGTTTTTTTTTATTATTATTATTTCTTTCTGTCTACTGGATTTGGGTTTGATTTGCTCTTCTTCTGCCAAACTCTTGAGTTGAATCAGTGAGTTATTTGTTTATTATATTCTTTTTGATTTTTTTTAAATGTAGGCCCTTGGAACTATAAATTTCCCTCATATGAAATTTTGGTTTGTTGTATTATTATTTTTATTTATTTCAAGAAAGTATTTTTTTCTTGATTTTTCTCATTCATCATTCAGTAGTGTGTTATTTAATTTCTGTGAGTTTGTATAATTTCTAGAGATTCTCTTTCTGTTTATTCAAGTTTTATTACATTGTGGTCAGACAGGATACATGTAGTTATTTCAAATATTTTATATTTGTTGAGATTTGTCTTGTGTCCCAATATGTGGTCTACTTTAGGGAAAGCTCTATGGGTTACTAAGTAGATGGTATAGTCTCTGATTGTTTGGGTGGGCTGTTCTGTAGACATTTATACAGCTGGTCTTAGCTACTTTGTGGGCCCTTCTTTTGCCCACCCTTTATCCCTCCCCTTTTACCTTCTAACACTAAATAGGAAAGAAAGAAGGAGGGGGGGGAGAGAGGAGAGATGCCTGAATCTTAATTTCTTTCCTTTTGTTTCTTCTTTGACTACAACTGCTAACAAACCACAACCAACCTCCCTGTAAATGACCAACAACCATCAACAACTGCCCCTCGGGACCCGAGCATTTACATTCTGTCTGAAAATCTTCCAGAATTCCAAATGTCACACAATCTCAGAAACTATCTGCAGCTGGCAAAACCATGGCTCTGCTAGACCATGAGGCAAATCATAATCAGATGCTGTGGACAGTTGGAAGCAGCCCCAATCCCCACACCTGGGATTAAAACAAAAACACATTATTTTAATATTTCTGTGTTTTTTTGTTTTGTTTTGTTTTTTTTTAAAAAGCCACAATAAAGCACGACTCTGCTTTCTTAGAGCAGAGCACAGAAGCTACCACAGGACTTTGCCTACTTTGAAGAAGACAGCATCAGGTAGAGACTAAACCCTCACAGCCCAGATCTTAGATGGTGCCTCTAGGCATGCTTGAGCATCAGGCAGAGAGACCTCAGAGTCAGTTGGACAGACTCAAGTTTTTGCCTAGATCATTATCTGCTATGGGGTGGGCTTGTTCACTACCACCAAACATCCAGACTATGTAGGTCCCTGTGGCTGTGAGACTTCAAGTACATCAGCCTTGGCACTTGAGAGACTTCCTGTGCTACCTATTCCCAGTGTGCCTAGACTAGTGCTCACAGATGGAGCCGTTAGAATTTCCCTAGATCTGTACCCCAATGGGAGAGATTTGTCTTCTGGCTTGATTCATCAGCAGCTGTAGTGTGAGCCTGTATACACTCTTAAATTTTTTTAATATACATTGGTGTTTTGTCTGCATGTGTAAGGGGGTCGGGTCCCCTGGAACAGGAGTTATTGAGAGTGGTGAGCTGTCATGTGAGTGCTGGGAATTGAACCCAGGTCCTTTGGAAGAGAAGACAGTGCTCTTAACTGCTGAGCCATCTCTCCAGCCTTCTGGATACACTCTTGAAGCTGTGCAGGTCCTAAAGGAAGGATCAGCAATGAGTTTGATTACCATTAGAATATACATTGCTGGTGGTAGGGCAGATGTAGAGTATTAGCAAGTATTATCAGCAAGTATTACCGAGGTGAGCCACAAGGCAGGATCATAAGTTGAGGTGGAGTACGTTAACACTATCCCAATTGTGGGTAGCAAGACTATGCTGGGGCCAGAGAGTGGTTACACACGCCTTTACTCTCAGCACTCAGGAGGCAGAGGCAGGTGCCTCTCTGATTTCGAGGCCAGCTTGATTTACAGAGTGAGTTCCAGGACAGCCAAGGCTATACAGAGAAACCCTATCTTGAAAAACAAACAAACAAACAAACAAACAAACAAACAAACAAAGATTATGCTAGGGAGAAGATGGGGTACTAACATAGGACTTTGTCTTGGAGGTTAGTCCTGGGTGTATGAAGCCTAACACTGGACAGAACCTAACATGCCTGTCCTCAAGGCTGCCTGTGGGTTGCCCCTCTAGCACAGCCCTAGTCTGTTGGTCTTCTACCCAGTGTCACCTGTGGCTGAGTGCAGTGGTCTCCAGCTATGAGTTAGCAGTAGGCAGGCAGTCACCACAGTGTAGGCCTCAATTCTTGGCAGTCTGTCAGCTGTGAGTGTGACAGTGTTGCAGTTTTGGTGGCCCTTTGTAGGAATGAATGGCATAGAAGCCTGAAGCTGGTCTCTTCTAGAGGGCAGACTGCAGTGTTGGAATGCCCGCTGGTGACTGGGTACGGTTTTTTGAACTAATAAAGATCTATACAGAGGTTTGGGAGGGTGGACTAACCTTTTTAGATACTTTTCTAGCTCGTGCTGTGAACAAGTCACCATCTGCAGATTTGAGATAAGCCTGGATCACCCTCTAGTGCTGAAACAGCGGCAATGCTCTGGCAGTGACTGTAGCACACAGGGTTGCAGAAATCACTGTAGACTAAGAGAAAATATATACCTTACTTAGAATGCCTAAAAAAGTAAGCACAACGCCAGACACAAAAGCTGAAGCAAATACATTCCACACTAATAAGCGTCAACGACAGCCATGGAACAGTTGAAATAAGGTACAAGGAGGTGAACAAAGTCTTTGATAGTGCATTTAAGATATTTTAAAGAAACTCAATTATCTTCAAAAGAAAACAGTGATTTAGTACTTAGAAAAACTTGACAGAGATGGAAGCATTTTTTTTTTTTAAATAAAGTGTATGGGGCTGGAGAGATGGCTCAGAGGTTAAGAGCACTGACTGTTCTTCCAAAGGTCCTGAGTTCAATTCCCAGCAACCACATGGTGGCTCAGGACCATCTCTAATGAGATCTGGTACC